CCGAGGGCCGGGATGAAGCGTAATTAAGCAGCGGGCCTAGCGAGCCTACCCATGGATCAATCCAAAATCGCACTGTAGCCCCGTTACCAATTTTCCATCTAACAGATTTCATCAATTCTAGCCAAATCCTGCAAAGAGCTTGCATTAGCGGAGAGCCCTTCCGGCACCGTGGACTAGCCATCCCATCCGGGAGCTTGAACTTATACTTTGCACACATAAGTCGCGCCCAAAGGTAGTTGCTCCTCGTTAATAGCCGCCACCCCATTTTCATGAGCAGAGCGTAGTTCATTTTCCGGAGATCTTTTATTCCCAGCCCACCATCTTCTTTAGTTTTACAAACATCTTTCCAGGCGACCAAGTGCATACTCCTTTTCGCATCAGGCCCGCCCCAGATAAATGCACGGCTTTTTTTTCCAAGCCTTCGGTGGTAGCAATAGGCAACAATGCGGCCTGCATGGTAAAATAAGGTAGGGAACTAAGCACTGACTGTGTTAGGGTAACACGCCCTGCCATGGATAGGGCCTTCATCCGCCACCCTGCTAGTCGCGCCTCCGCCTTGTCGCAAATATGAGCAAAAGTGTTCTTAGTTACTCGGTCGTGGATCACCGGTACTCCTAGATATTTTCCAAGATTGCCCGTCCAACTGAACTCCAACCTTTGTGCCAGCCGACGTTGTTCGGTATACTCCACATTACGTGAAAAGAAAACTTGCGTCTTGTCCGAGCTAATCTTCAGGCCCGACATGTTACAAAATCTGTCCAGGACCTGTCGTAGCACCCCTACCTGCGAATCTGAGGCCTCCATGAATAGAAGTAAGTCGTCGGCGAACATTAAAAAAGGTACAGCGATGTCTCCACGCCCAACTGAAATAGGTTTCCATACTCGGTCTTCAACAGCGCATGTGATGAGTTGTGCCAGTCTTTCCATGCACATCACGAACAGATACGGTGAGATGGGGTCACCTTGCCGGACCCCCCTGGTTGGTTGGAACTCCTCCCCTAACGTCCCATTCCACGACAATCGCATGGAGGCGGACCGGACACAAGCCATTATAGCCCGAACCATAGTCGTGGGATAACCAGCTAGGCCCAAGGTATCCTCAATGAAGTCCCAGCGGAGAAAATCATATGCCTTTTCAAGGTCCACTTTGATTACCACTTTTGTCACATGGTTGAGCTGGATTATTTGGATGTTGTCGAGGAATTTTTCTAAGACGTCCTTTAGTTTGATTAGTTCTTCCTTTAGTGTTGTGGGAAAATTTGGACAGTTGTAAACACTTCCTCGTGCTTTCTATATTTTTTTTTATTTTACTACAAATTTTTGTATGATGAAATTCTTGTAGTAAATTTTTCAATTGGAAAGGCAATTATCTTCCTTCATCTTCTCTGTTAGATGGTTTTAGTGATTTTGAAAATACCAAGTAAATGTTGTCCTAATAGTTCACAGACATCTCGTCATCAGAGTTAGACTCCATTGCCTTATCTACCAAGGCCTCGTATCTGTTGACTCTTCTAGATCAACTTGTTTAAACGTCCGTTCTTCAGCTTTAACCATTTCTTCTCCCGAACTTACTCCAGATGAATCATTTAATAGCATATACATTTAGTCATTTACAGCTTTCAAAATGGCACAAAAACATGAGAAAACCAAACGCCGGTTCGACATTATCAGTTCTAACTTTTTTTCAGAAAAAAAAGAAGTACCAACTTCCAGTTGGTTACAATATAAACAATGGATGAATGAGAACTGAGATATGCTTCACCCAGAAAAATGCTTATTCAAAATTTACAACATAGCCTGGGTGGAGTAAGTGGATTTGATTAACAATAGATGTTGGTGTAAAAATATTCAAATATTTGCACCAGAAGATAATCAGCTAGTGTGGCTACCTCGTTTTACGGGAGCTCGTAAGGAAGAATAATATTCGGCATTCGTTTTTTCAATCCCGTCAAAAAGGTAGCTAAAAGGAGGCATTTCTATATATTTTCCGGAACCAGGGACGACCTTAAGTTCATTGTCCTCCCAAACCACTTGTCCTCCAGCTATGGTTACTTCGACTTTTCCCTATATAGTCAGCATTTCAAATAGCGGCACGAAATATAGAGTTTACTTGTTGATGAATAAGTCCAACTACTTCCTAAAATATCACCACATAAAAAATATAAAAATAAATAAATAAAGAGGTATATATTAATTATGATGATATTAAAGTGGTATGCATATTCCGTAAGTGTCGCCAACTTAAGTTTCGAAATAATTGCAGTTAGCACGATGAAAGACCGAACAAAATTTACCTTCCTTCTTCTTCCCTCATAAACATTTGTATCTGTTTGAGAGTGGTGGGTAGCTGAACTGATTTCAAAGCTTGCATCAGGGTTTAATATGATGATATCTGCATCTGACCCGGCTAGTATTGCTCCTTTTCTTGGATAGATGTTGAAAATTTTGGCACTGAATAAATAAATTTAAGAAATAAAAATAAGAAAACGAATCAGTACACGTGCTTACAGACAAGTTGAACGATTTCAAAAGGAGAGCAAAATAAAAGCATACCACTCGGTGATAGTCACCATAACATAATCAGCAACGGATATTTGTCCAGACACCTGATACAAAAAAAACAAAAAGAGCTGCAATTAATGCACAGAAAGGCAAAGTCTAATGCTTGAGTTTTACAAGCATGTGGAGAGCCGCAAGAGCCACCCGAGAAAATGTTGTTTCTAGTTCAATGAGAATAAACTTTCAGTGTTGAACTAAATGAGAACAATGGCCAACATACTACCATCGTGTCCCAAACCAAATGCATTCTCTCCTCGAGACCTGCAGAAAAATGGCCGTGTGAAAACGAAAACAAAAACAAAA